CGATGAATATTAATGTTAAGTAGTGAACCAGTGATAATTACTTTTACATTTTTAACAAAATGTTATAATGATTAATCCAACAAAAAAAAATTAAAAAATCCAAGAAAATCCAAATTAAACAAATCGAATTACTAAATTTTGAGAGAAACTTTTAAAAAATATTATTTAAAACAATAGTGTTGTTTCATCAAATGACATGGTTTCCTTGAACGAAATAAAAGTTTTATTTTCATCATTTTAAAAAATGATATTTCGTTTAAGAATATAATATTTTAATGAAATAAAAAAGAACCACAAAATTAAACAAGTACGAATATTAAATCTAAAAAGATTATTTTCTCCGAAAAAACAGTATAACCCTAACGGCACGGGGACGTTCTGAGGACGTTCTGAGTAGATCGCAATGCGTATATTGCGATCATCTCAGAATGTTCTCATATGTACTGCGATCGAATGAGTACGTTCTGAGTAAATACACGCGCGATGCAAATGCGTACGTATCATTTCAGTCAAACCTGAGAAAGTACGCACGCGACAGAAAAGCGTACGTATCATTTCCGTATCCCTGAGTGAAATCTGAGAACATTCGCACGTGAAAGAAAACCGAATGATACTATAAGTGACGTTCTAGCGTTCAACTTAGTACGTCACAGATGATCACAGTACAATGAGTACGAAAATGGGATGATACGCAGTACGTCGCGTGCTGTTAGGGGTCTGGAAGCTCTAAAAATTTTGTTAAAATCGATTTTATGGGTACTATACTTAATTTTTGGTGCTGTATATGCGATTGAGTTCTTCTTTTAGTTTTACCATACGATAAAGTACTATTAATGATTACTAATTTTGGTAGAAATAAGAAATTTTTTTTTATATTTTAATATCTGGTATTCGTTTTTAAATGGTTCAAAGCCATGTTTTATTGTTCGTAACATCTAAGTCTTGTACCTTTTTATATTTATATAAAATATATGCAAACTAAATATAAAATCAATGCAAACTGAAATATAATTTATAGCAATATCATTTATAATCTCGTGTATCACTTTTCTATTTAAATGTCCAGCAGCATATAGTTTTGTAACGAACCGAAGAGCATATTCAGATATAAAGTCTTTAAAAGCTTCAATATCTACTTTGTCTGCATCATCAATAAGATTGAATAAACTATCAGTATTAAAAACTTGAAACTTGCTTTCAAAAGAACATTATGATAATACATTTTATGATTCAATATTACTCTGTACTATGTTCTTTTGGCATAATGTATCTTATGTAGATACTTTTCTTAAATGTGATTTTATCACGTGAGTTCGTAAAGTATAAACATTATTATATATACCAACGCAGTTTGTAAAGTTACATTTCGTTTCCGAGTTCATAAGCATTCTGTGTTTCAATTTGAACATTACTGTTTCAATCGATAAGAAACTTTTATCACAAAAAAATATAAAATCATTTTCAAATGAATCTTGTCTACTAACAAGTTATAATGATATATTTATGAGTGCTATTTTAATTAATTGCTTTATTTTCGTCGCGGAATGATTGAAAGATTTTGCTCAATACGTACTCTGTACTAGGGAACATTCTATTCCATTTTGTTGTAAAATTATAAATACTTTTCTGAATTAATGTCCAAATATGTTCGCTCATCGGAGGATAACTTATTTGAAAAATGTGAAACGTTTTAAAACAAATATCTATAGCTTCTACAATACTTGTTGTCTTATATAAGATGTCATCCACTTGCACGTACGTTTCTTTAATCTCATCCGGCGATCCAAGAATAATTATATAAGGTTGTAGTGTAATTTTCAATATTTCTGCATTTTTTCGTGCTTCTTCTCTAATAATAGTCATGTCTCCAGGAACCTAAAAATATAATCCATACGATAAGATTTAAAGAATCGTTAATGCGGATAAATATTTTGACAAAAACATTTTTATTTAAAATATAATATTTGGACGCATGCTTGCATGTTTTATCAGGCTTGATCTTGAATTTGCTATTGAAGACCTATAATATTTGCCATCATGTCTTTTTATTGTTTTTGGCGGGAGTAAATATGGGAGCAACGTAAAACCTTGAGCAACTTTTATATCTAAAACAATATTATGAAGTTATTCTAGTAATTAAAGCAATCAGTGTTAAGGTTCCTGGATACTCGCTGCAGCCAGTTTATTTGATTACGTCACAAGCGAAATAAATCATATCAATTTATGCGACGATGTATTATGGAAATATACAGGGTGTCCAAAAAGTCTGGAAACACCTGAATAATTTCCCAGGTAAATTATTTTTGAAAAATGTTAAGGTCACTCTTGTAGTAACTTTTGACGAGGAATTCAATGGTGACCTTGGATTTGACCTTGACGATGACCTTGAAGGTTATTTCAAGGTCAGCTCAATTTTTTAAAATGGAAACCGCCTTTTTTGACGTCGGCAATCGAAAGAGCGGGAAATTTTACGTCCAAAAACATTATAAGGCCATAAATCATGGTTGACCTTGAAGGTCATTCAAAGGTTATTTAATTTTGAGGACTGGATATCTTCGAAGAACGCAGTTGATGAAAATAGCTTACTTTAGTTATTTTGTTTAATTGCAATTAGTGGTGACCTCAAACTCGACCTTGTTGGTGTCCTTCAAGGTTATTTCAAGGTCAAATTTTTTTTTGCTAAAAACCTCCTCATTTGTCGTCGGCAATTGAAAGAGCGGAAGTTTTCATACTTTTACTTTTAGCGTTACCCAGAAACAACGGCGGGGACGTAGTAAGGACTGTTTCCTTTGGGGTGCTTGCTTAACGTGAGTCCCCTTGCCTCTCACGATGGGGTGCTTTATTATCGTGAGTCCCCTTGCCTCTCACGTTGGGGTGCTTTATTATCGTGAGTCCCCTTGTCTCTCACGTTGGGATGCTTTATTATCGTGAGTTCCCTTGCCTTTCACGATGGGGTGCTTTATTATCGTGAGTCCCCTTGCCTCTCACGATGGAATGCTTTATTATCGTGAGTCCCCTTGCCTCTCGCGGTGGGGTGCTTTATTATCGTGAGTCCCCTTGCCTCTCACGTTGGGATGCTTTATTATCGTGAGTTCCCTTGCCTTTCACGATGGGGTGCTTTATTATCGTGAGTCCCCTTGCCTCTCACGATGGAATGCTTTATTATCGTGAGTCCCCTTGCCTCTCGCGGTGGGGTGCTTTATTATCGTGAGTCCCCTTGCCTCTCACGTTGGGGTGCTTTATTATCGTGAGTCCCCTTGCTTCTCACGTTGGGATGCTTTATTATCGTGAGTCCCCTTGCCTCTTTCGTTGGGGTGCTTTATTATCGTGAGTCCCCTTTATGTTATTTTTGAGCCACGTTTTTAATATATATTAAAAAAGTATTTTCTAGCAAGTTCTTTACGTTGGATTTCATGTTAGATAATTTGTTTATGTCTGAAATGCTAGCTACATATTCAAAATCAAAGAATAAGACGTTATGTTAATTATTGAGAAGCAAAAAAAATTGAAAATAAAGCTGTAAAAAAGAGGTTTAGAAACAATATTTTAAAAGCACCCCAAAAAGAACAAAAATCACTAAGTCCCCGCCGTTGTTTCTGGGTAACGCTAAAAGTAAAAGTATGAAAACTTCCGCTCTTTCAATTGCCGACGACAAATGAGGAGGTTTTTAGCAAAAAAAAATTTGACCTTGAAATAACCTTGAAGGACACCAACAAGGTCGAGTTTGAGGTCACCACTAATTGCAATTAAACAAAATAACTAAAGTAAGCTATTTTCATCAACTGAAGTTCTTCGAAGATATCCAGTCCTCAAAATTAAATAACCTTTGAATGACCTTCAAAGTGAACCACGATTTATGGCCTTATAATGTTTTTGGACGTAAAATTTCCCGCTCTTTCGATTGCCGACGTCAAAAAAGGGGGTTTCCATTTAAAAAAATTGAGCTGACCTTGAAATAACCTTCAAGGTCATCGTCAAGGTCAAATCCAATGTCACCATTGAATTCCTCGTCAAAAGTTACTACAAGAGTGACCTTAACATTTTTCAAAAATAATTTACCTGGGAAATTATTCAGGTGTTTCCAGACTTTTTGGACACCCTGTATATATAGTAATAAAAGAATATACGCTCAAGAAATGGTACTTGTAATAGATTCAGCACACTTATAACAATGTACGGACACTTTTCTTTAACCTGAACCTGAACCTGAACCATCAATAAATACTTCTAAAATGGCTGTGATATTTGATCTTACTGGAAAGGAAAAAACGTTAAATGACAGCTGTCGAACAGAGAAATATCAATTGTTATGTGTGAAATAATGCTCTAATCACAGCGTCCATTGTTCAGATTTCGGTGAGCACGACACATGTTATTTCAATGCACAGAAATGGATATTTATGCTGTATATTGTGACGCAAAATTGGCATGCATTTCGAAGCTTTTTATGCCTTGTACTTTACCGTCTCACCATGTAGAGCGCTATATGACAATATAAGTTCGGGCTCCGAGTGCAGGAGTGGAATCGGGTAGACAAAGACGGACAATCTGTATTCTGTAAAAACTTAATTTTTGCCTGATTCCTCTTCTGCAGTCGGAGCACGAACTGAATCTAAGCTAGTTGAAACAGTTCCAATTTTTATCGCAAACAACTGGGGCTTTGCTGTCAACTCAGAGTTGGCCATCAAGTATCCAGGAGCTTTAAAATTAATATCATTTTTCTCTAAAGCGCAGCTGTTTCGCCTAATTTTGGGTTTTTTAGCCATGGCAATTCTTTTTGCTTACGACTAAAGCTTATTTAAATATATTCCAAGAAAATCTTTAATCTTTAATCTCAGATTCCTATTATCCTATGTCCTCAAGAGAAATGGCACAAAAATATTGAATTACTCTTTTCAATCAATTTTCTTCAGAACAATAAAATGCTCACATTAAACAGTTTCATAGATTCAAAGTATGAAACTCTTTAATCTAAGCATCCTATTGACCTGAAGAAAAATGGTCGAAAAGAGTGCCAATAGAGAATTTTTGTACCATTTTTCTTGAGGACAGGAAGAAACTAAAATTAAACATTTACATAATTGGAATATATTTACATAGGCTTTAATCGTATACAAAATGATGTTATTTCTAAATGATGTAAAAGTAGGCGAAACTTAGCCGCGCTGTTTAAATTGCTTTTTAAATTGCTTGTATAACTTGTAATTTAAGTTGACCTTTGATATCAAAGGTCATTGTATTAAAATCTTGAGCAATTAATTGGTATTCATGTGGATGTTTTAATATAGGCCACTAATTTATAATGTTTGCTAAATTGCTGTCATTACAATTTTGTAAACTTTTGCATCTTACATCGAAAGTTACATGCCAATGTTGCAAAACCATTTGCCATGGTGCTTGGTTTTCCTTTAACCATCTACTACTTTCTTGCACTATATCATCAATATCTTCTAGAACTTATTTTAAAAACAAAAAAATTAAAATATTTTGGTAGTAATTACAAAGTGTTTATTGTAGGAGTAACTTCAAAAATAATTACGAACGTAATTTTATACTCATATAAACATAAAAATTACCAGGTTCATCTCTTTCACATTTCTTCTTTAATTTAACTTCAAATTTTTTAAAATAAAGTGGATCTATTTCGCCACATATTTAATAACTTTCCACGGGAAATAATAGGCTTCTTTGTAATCGAATCTTTTTTCGATATAGGTGGCGCATAATATGTTGTTTTCACTTCAGTGGGAAAAATAGACACAATCATTTCTGATATACGATCAGCTAAATCGTTTGTTAACCTACATAAAAATTAAAGCGTTTTAAATAATAAGATGTTACTGATAATATAACATAGGACAACTTACTTCGCATTTCTATTTGTAATCAGTTACGATAACATCACATAATTTATTTTTCATACTTTCTTCTAATTTCTTGTTTTCTTCATAATATGCCAGAATCCGTTGTCCTATATATTACTATCCGTTGTCCTATATATTACTCGTTTTAAGTAGAGCTTGTAATGACATTGGAAACACATATTTTACTGTCTTTGCAACACAAGCGTTACTTTGCACACATAATTGCTCTTCATCTTCGCTTAATAAAGCTGCACTATGTATAGAATCAGCCTCTTCTTTTTGTTGTTCTACTTTCTAAGAAAAATAAAATAGGTATAGTATAATGAAATTTTATATTATAAGCTCCCGGGTATTTGCTCGTTTGTGCTTCTTTGATGACGTCAAAAGCGAGAAATTGCGTGCCAAAACTTATTGCGTCATAAATTTAAGTAAAAAAATATATCCATAAAACAAGGCATGTGATTGATTCAGTAAATTTATAAAAATTATCCAAAAATTTTCCTTTTGTTATGACAATAATTAGTCGTAAGATTATTGCTTTAGGCAACTAACCTTTTAACCTATCGTATCTTTCTTTGTGTTTTTGTTACGTCAATTATACGGCTAGTGATTGTCACAAGAAAAGGAAAGTTTTCGGATATTTTAACAAATTTGCTGAATCGATCACGTTGTTTTATAGATATATCTTTTTATTTTAATATGTAACGTAATAAATTTTGACATGCGATTTCTCGCTTTTACCATCGTCAAACAAGGACAGACGAGGCGACTACTCCGGAGCCTTACGTATCACTTGACAAAAGAATAAAACATACTCTTTTTTTATTGGATGCAGAATTAACTAACGTTTCAGATACATGTCGAATTTTGCAAATTATATCGTTTTTTCCAATAGTTTAGAAATATTAAACGTTGCCCAATAATGGGTATCAATTCTGCAATAATGTCTTTTATAAAATGTGGCAATGCCTCAATAGTAATCATGTTCTCTGTAAAATTATATTTTAACTTATCGTATATAATACATACAAAATATGATTTAAATATTTAAAAAATAAGATATTATGATTGAACACACACACAATGAAAACATTACAATCTCTTCTTTTCATTAAGGTGACTATGACAATGTTAGTTGTAAAGGTTATACAAATATTGATAATATTGTAATGCATAATATTGTAATACTTTAAAACTTACGATTTTTATAAGGAGCATTTTTTCAAAAACGCATATTGTTTGTATATTAAACCGATTGTACATTGATCATCATATAGCATCGCAAATCACAGGTTATACGAAATTAAGCAACACAGGAAGTTATTTTTCTCAAATTTGATTATGGTTTGTATTGCTTATAACCTGCGACTTGCGATATAACCAATATACCACTAATCTAATATATAAACAATATAGTTTTTAAAAACTTGCTCCAATTTCGAAAATCAAATTTTAAAGTGACGCATTACAATAGTAGCAATATAAGTATGATGTTCAACTAGCATTGTCATGGTCATGTAATAATTATCTGAATGTTTTTAAATAAATAAACCAATTTCTATTGCATATTCCTATAGCTTAATTTTTTAAATGATATTATACTTTTATAAGGTGTTTTTTTTAACAATTTTCCAGCTTATGACACTTCACAGTTGCTATACCGATAAATAAAAAAATATCTTATGTTAACAATATACTTATGTTATATGATTATACATGGACTTTATATATATATATACATACAGGGTGCGGCAAGAGTATCGGACCGGTAAAATATCTCGAAAAATATAAATTTTACAGAAAATTGCTTTAGATAAAAGCTATAAGTCTTAGGAAAATCTATTTACTGATTTTAACAGTTTAACCTTGGATGACATTTCGAAATCAGGTCGAGGTCAACATTACTTTTTTAAATAGAAACATATACTTTTTACAACGGAATTTTATTCTACGTAAAGAAACAAATAAGTTTTGTTTGAAAATATTTTTTATACGACCTTTATTTTCTAATTCAATAATTTTGTAGATATTTACGGAAATATCTACAAAATTATTGGTTTCAATAATTTTTTACTCGAATTTTATCAATTTTACCGAAAAATAGCAAAATATAAAAATTGTCTATTGTTTCTCATAGAGCTCTGAGAATTTTTTCAGAATTTTTTAATTAACTTTTTAGTACTTCAAGAAAATGCAAGAAAATGCAGTACTAAAAAGTTAATTAAAAAATTCTGAAAAAATTTTCGGAGCTCTATGAAATGAAAATAGAAAATTTTTATCTCTCGCTACTTTTTGGTAAAGTTGATAGAATTTGAATAAAAAATTATTGAAACCAATAATTTTGTAAATATTTCCGCAAATATCTTAGAAAATAGATGTCATATAAAAAATGTTTTCAAACAAAAATTATGTGTTTTTCACATAGAATAAAATTCCGTAAAAAAAAATATGTTTCTATTTAAAAAAGCAATGTTGACCTCGACCTGACCTCGAAATGTCACCCAAGGTCAAACTGTTAAAATCAGTAAATAGATTTTCCTAAGACTTATAGCTTTTATCTAAAGCAATTTTCTGTAAAACTTATATTTTTCGAGATATTTTACCGGTCCGATACTTTTGCCGCACCCTGTATATATATACATACGTTTTTTTTCTAATAATGAAGTACATACAGTAAAAAGATACTGGCATAATAGCCTTAACTTTTACTATATTCATACTCTATGTAATTTTTTGATGTCTTGTACTTAAATTTTTATATGTTATCACTGTTGATTATTCATGGCAATTCATGGCAATTTCACTCACGGACGAAGTGGCATTTGTGGTATAAAACCACAATATATTTATATATATAATATCGCTTTATATCATAAATACAAAGCCAACAATTTGTGCAATCCGGTATAATATATAAAATATGATGAAACATGCAAGCAATAATGTAAAAATAAAAAACCTTACTTTCAAAATTTTCAATGAAACACTCCAGCTTCAAGTCTTTTAATACATTTTTCACTTCTTTATCTGCCATAGTCTTGTGTATTCCTCGTCAATATTAGTCAATTATTGCCCTAGTCACATTAAATTATCCTTGCCCTAGTCACATTAAATTATCCTTAGACGTCATTTTGGAGTACCCAATCTATAAGGTAGAAGAAGAGAATTTATATCATCATAGAAGGTCAGGCGGCCCTGATTCTCGAAAAAAATATTGCACACGATATTTGGTGACATGTTATAGTTCATGTAACATATACAAACATAACATGTAACATATATACTATAATATTTCACCAAATATCGTATGCGATTATTTTCGAGAATCAAGACCCAGATAGTAAAGCAGAGAGAGAGAGAGAGAGAGAGAGAGAGAGAGAGAGAGAGAGAGAGAGAGAGAGAGAGAGAGA